AGAAGAAAAGGGACAAGAAGAGAGGGACACAACCTAGAACAGATAATGGATGTCTATTCTATTAATATTTCTCTATCTGTAGAATGGGTCTCTTATTTGTTGTCTTCTCAATTCAGAGGGCCCCCTGCCTGTCTTTGCCTAGGGCCCCAAATTTCCTAAATCTGCCCCTGGCGCTGAGTGTGTAAATTATCCCACGTGTTCATAACCCTTAAACTGTTTCACATTTTCTTATGTTACTACCAAGATCTTCAATGTATTTTATTGGGATTTTGTGCAGTAGATCACCATAAAGAAAGGAATATTACGGATTATGTTCAACATTTTCCAAAATTACGCAAAGTCTGAATAAACTATTTTCATTTGCATTACAGCTGCAAGTTTTTCAGGGATTGTCTCAACCAGCTTTAGACATGTAGTAACAGAATTTACAAGCCTTCTAATTTATAAATTTCAGATTACAAGCAGATTCTGTTTCATTTAGATCAGGCCTCGAAATTTATTACTTATTTTATGTATTTATTTATTTGACAGTATACAATAAACATTTCTGCAAATGCACTAGAATTAGCCAAAAGGCTATTTTGATCTGTTGCCTCTGAACAGATCTTACTATTTTCTACCTAAAAACACCACAGTAAGAATTTTTCAATGAAAAATACAAATATAAAAAGTAATAAAAACAGCTATAACTCTTCAAAACTTGCTTAATTTAATAGGTTAATGTATATATACACACACATATATATATATATATATATATATGTATATATATATATATATATAAGTAGCAGCACTTCTGAAGCTAACAAGTGGAATCAAATTTTATCTAGAGAAATTAGAAGAAAGGTTACCCAAAAAGAAACACATGCAACTATTAAAACTTTTTTGTGTTGGTCTGTTGCATGAAATCCAAATAACATTCTTTGAAGTGTGTGGATGTGAAGTGACAGATAGGAGGAGTTCAAGGTAAAATACTTTTGGAAGGCCAGTGTTTACAGGATGGGACTGCAATGGTGTTCTTGTTTCTAAACTTTTTAAAAGTCACCTAATAAATACTGAAGTCCTGAATGAGAGATGAGTAAAAGTAAGGTTGCTTGTGTTTGTTGAGTTTTACCGTCATGGTGTAAAAGATCTTCTCGGTCCTTAAAAATGGATACAGAGCCGAGAACCTCTGAAAGCCTCCTTTCAGTATCTTTACTGGAGTGGAGCTGGATTTTGCCACTACGTTGGCACAGGCAACTGCTCTTCCTAAATATTACAGAGAGCAGGGCTGATATATTTGACTGTTTGTAGGAAAAAATAGGTATATCATAACAGATTGAGTATTATTTTTTAGAGAACATACCTTGTTCCTTTAAAGAGCTTGTGTTGCTGTCATAGACAACAATGTGTCGCATGCTCTCAATGTCCACCGTATATGGCAAGAGGAAGGAACCTTTTGCAACCTGCAGGTATTTATTAGGATAATTTGTGTTAAAATCAAACACTCCCTATAGTAGGAGATACAGAAAAATACATAAATAAATAAAATAGATAAATTTAAAGTTTTTTCCTTCAATATCCCCAGGTGTTTGTGGTTTTGATGTGTGTCATTTATTAAAGGAAAAGTCAGTTCAGCAAGGAATAACCAATGGATCATTATTTATGCCTAAAACTAACATGTTTGAAGAGATTTCATGAATTTGGCGTTAATCAG